TGTAAGAGTTATCGTAATCTGTCATTAATCAGGTTGTAATCCTTCTGAGTCTCTGTAACTTGTACCATAGTTACTGTTAGCTTGGGTAAAAATTAGCATCTGAAACTACACATTCCTAGTATTGACCGCTCGTGGAATTACCATACATGATTTTGATTGTTTTATAACCATCCATGAACATCGTAGTTTGAAGAATTAATGTCAAACTTTAGGGATTGGGAACTGCAGTTGCCCAAATTATTAAAAAACTTGGTAAACGAGGTAAAAATATTCAGCGGAGATTACTTACAGTTGGTGACGTGACTGAGAACTTTCCCACAAATGAAGGAATTTTGACTCATGTAAATATTCCCTTTCTAGTCTTTGATTGAATTTAGCAGAATTCAGGTACATAGTCATTGCTGGCAAAATCAAGTATCTTGGAGGGAGACTACTTGACATTTTCAGCTAAACAATCGGCGACAAGTGGGTGTAGGCTTTCCCCCCTAATCATCGCACACTCTCACCTACGTGACCTCGTTTTATTCGGTAATTTATTTTGTAGCCGATCGATGTAACACTCCTTGTATATCTGCAGAACAACGCCTCAAGGTAAAAATGGGAAAAAACCAACTTTTCATAAACCACGAACGGTGTAACCTGTGTGTACAGATGAGTTGTTGGCAGCTTAGTTCGCAAACCAACACACCTCCAACAAGCTTCTGTGGTAGGTGCACCAACTGCGTAAAGTACGCGTGTCACGAGGACTTGCCACATACTCTGCTCACTCGTACCAAAATGCGACCTTGTGGAAGCTGCTTCGACCTCCGAATAATTCGCGCAATCTTACCCTCTGATTGGCTCTACTGAGAAGGCGTATTTGTGGGAATACATTTTAATTGCTTTTTGTGCTATGCTGCCAATCCCCTAGAATTTCAAGAAAGTATTCTAGTTCTGATAATATATTATCAATTATAATTGATTCAGAAAAAAGAAAATTTTGGTTCAAAACCCCTAACTCCTGTACAATCCCATTGATTAGATTAAATGCTGAACACAGATTAAGTTCGTACATTGGTTCAGTAAATTTCCGTTAGAACTATTAACACATCTGTCGTCTGGAAATCCTTAAGTGCTCTAAATCACAGATTGTAGATTCATTTACAAAATGGAATAATTATCTTATTTCAAAGGTTAAATGAATGTTAGTTGTTCAGTGTCAGAAAAATGGACTTAATAGTTGTTGAATCAAAACAATTAGGACAAGTATAATGCCTTTACATGGTTTATCGTGGTTTAACAAGAAACAAGAAAGTAACAGATAAACTAACTACTGTAGAGACACCTAATTTGGGTGATGCATCGATTTTTATGTGCCCTGTTACCCCGAGGTTGCCGGACTCAGTTGACCTCTCAGCCTCAGACTTTCCTGCATTCCGTGTCACCATAGAATCAATGCCAAGGTTCGCCTTGCCTTGGCATCAGTCACCATTCCCTCTGTTTGACTGACAATCCACCAAGTATGCTTCATTTTTTAGGCTCAATATTGTTTGTTAGCCTGGCACTATAAAAATGACGTTATCTGTCACCTAGAGACAGAAAAGGGCCTTGCGAAAGCTACTCCTGTGGAGCTGGGCTTACTGGTTGCCAAAATTTGTCGAAAAATTAGTTTATAAACCAGACTCATCAAATCAAATCTAGCCGACTCCACATAAATGCAGGGTTTGTGACTAAAACTAGCTAAACTAGAAGGTATGATGGATAGATGTCTGAAAATGCCAACGCATTCGTCAGTGACATTTACTCAAAGAACAATTAAGAGCTGCCATTTTTAGGTGACATCTGTAAAGGCATTTTGGCTATTTTAAAAAAGAAGCATCCATGGTAATGAAAACACGGAAATTTTAATGCCCAACTACTGTCAATAACCAGGTTGGGTTAAACTGGTGTCGCCTTTGCGGGTCAAGTATTTTAACTTGTACTAAGATTCCTTTAATTTGGTCTGAATCGACCCATTATGCCTCACGTTTTCGAGCAAATCAGGATTTCCTTAAGTTACTTCGAAACTTGTCAATGCTTGTACTCACTTATTCTCACAACCCACGGTATGATCTTTCAGTCGAGTACGTCACAGTGTAAGATATTTGATACATTTAGAGGGTGGAAATGTGGTAAACTGCAGTGGATTCACTTAAGCTCGCGTGTGCGATCCATCATTTCACTTGTATGACCGCAGCTAACGTAGACCACATCGAGCCATCCACACTGTGATAGGTAAAAGAGCCCATCCGATGCTGAAGGAAAGTCGAGAAATCCCTGCTACGGTTGACAAGTGCGAAGTCTTTGGATAGGCGCGATCAGATTCACTCGAAATGCAGACAATATCGCCGATTTTAGCCTGTTAATGCGCCATAAAGCACTGCAATCTAGCCGATTATCTTGTTTAATAACCGAAGACTAATGCCGCTTTCCCATAACAACAATATGTCATGCAGTTTGAGTTTCCTAATCAATACGTTTTAATTCCCTTCAGCTACGGAATGTCTGCTCATACGAAATTTTAGTATCATTTAATTGTTGATTACTAGATGCATGGAAAGCGCACTGTAGTTCAATAATTTATGATGATGGATAGCACTAAACTTCCGCTTTACAAGAAATCTAGTTTTGAATTAACACAAAACAACGAAAGACCTTAAACGTGGGAACCCAAAATTTCACGTTATTTCTAGAATACTATAAGGTGAAGGCGGACACACTGACCGATAAACTCACGGGAATACTTTTACTACATAGAAAAGAGGCGAAATAGGTTTTAAAATAGAGGCAGTTTTAGTGAGTGAATTGGCTAACGGTAGTCTTCTGTTGAACAACGAACGTAGTAAATGCTATTACCGTCTTTTGACTCAACCGGCTGTCTCAGCCTGTGGAGTTGCGTAGGTGTTTCATTGACCTCTCACATGAGAACCGAAGTTACGTAAAAACGGCATGTGTCTGCTCGACCTCTCAGTTTGATCGGGGCCAGTACTACATATGGGAATAACTGCGTAGATTGGTGTGTGAGATCACGAGTCTCGGTTTGTGTAGCTTTCGGAATAGCCTTGAGAGGTGACACGATTCGGTTGGAAGCGTAATCAGTAGAAACTTTCGGGATTCGCAACTTACGAAACGGTAAGTACCGACAACTTTTGCGTCATTGTGAGTTAATTTACTGATTTCTGTGTTTGTGGGTGCCATGTTTAAGATCACGTACCAGCCAATCGCTTACGCCTTATAAGGAGAAGAGTAGGGTGGTCGTGTGGGACAAACTAGAATAATAAATAATGAATTTTTAAGGATTAGGGACGAAATATCGGTGTTTAAAAGTAGACGTATTACCAGAGAGGAAAATATAACAAAAATTTTAGGGAATACACTGAATTGAAAGCTTTCACCACTGCAAACAATGCAGTTTCCTTAAAAAAAAAGCAAAATTAGGCTCGCCTCGTCTACTCACTTATGGCGGACAATTTGGTTTTTATCTCCCCATTGCAGGGTTAAACAGGGTACCACTTAGGTCGCGTATTACCGTTGCTGAAGTATTTAGGCACTGAACCTTCCAGCAGTTTTGATTTTAGGGAGAAAAGATGACACTACAAAGGCACATATGAGTGGTTTTGTTCAGTTGGCCTCGGTGAACCTGATCCCTAAATGATACTAACACTTAGAAAATCAATTGGGAGTGGGTAGCTGAAATATACTGCCGTAAGCGAACTAATAAAAGCAGTTTTTCCCCACTACACATAAAACACATCGTAGTCACTCTCTCACATCTCGTGACCTCATTCACAACTTCTTTTAGTTTATTTGTGAATTGAATTGATACACAGTAACTAAAGACAACATTTTGGAACAGTCGTTTTACATTGTGGCAAATGTACTAAGCAGAAAGAGGCAAAGTCTACTCCAATGCACAAAGTTTACAAACATTAATTCATACAATCGCATCCAAGATGACAGTTGGGTTTACCGTAAAAGAATTCGCCCTTGGATTTTTAAATAATGAGTTTTAGTGAAGAAATCACTCCTAACATATTCGCAATGGCACGATTTTACTGTTTTTTTTAATTTTCAAGAGTTTACCTAAGAGTTCAGCAAATAGGATGGCAAAACAATATATTTACCGCCAGTTTTTGAGATCTTGGGAAAACCAAGAATGAAACAAAACCACCAAAATTGGTTAGTTTTATGTCTGTTTTTAAGACAAAAGTTAAAAGAATTGTTTTGTGCACATGTAAGCATGGTAAAAAGTTATTTTGCTGGAGTTTTTGACCCAGCTTGCCAAAAATTCGTGGGAGCTTCAGAAACGCGGCATGAGAAAGCCTGAGTTGACCCCAATTTGTCTGCCAGCTTTTAGAGTTTCCAAAAGTTCATCAACCCAGCGTGAAAACATCAACCGACAATGAGCGTTTTTGAGCTCTGGAGAATTTTTCCACTTTCACCCAAGGGAGGTTCCGATAATTGGTTAGGGGAATATGTAAATTTCACAAGCGTTTACCTTTATTTATGAGCCCCCGAGGTTCGAGAACTACAATACCTTCCAGTATTACACGAGAAAGCGATCTGACTCTTTAAGAGACACAACAAAGCCATTACTCGCTTAGCATTGATAATGGTCTACGTTTTGGGCCATTGTGACTACTTATACTGGGACGTAAATTTACGAGTTGACTGCTTTGAGTGATGTTATATTAATCAAATACAAATGGTCGCCATTTTATGTGTAGACAACTCTGTAATTGAGAAGACAGTATATAAACATTCGTCTCCAAGGCATCAAATTACAGTCAAGCCCTTTCTCGGGTAATTTAGATTTACTGTTAACAGACAAAAACTCAACAATCCTGCGGCGAGAAGTATAATACCATGTGAAGTAGTGTACTCTTTATAAGTCTCGCGTTAAAATCGTCTAAGAAAAGGAATTGGATTCTACGAAGGAGTGAGTAAGACTGATTCTTGACAATTAAAAGACAAAAGCGCACTCACCTTCCAAAGTTGGATCCTACAACACAGTGCCAGGTTGGTCCAAATTGTTTGTCAAATTCTTTTTTGATGTAGGCTGCGGCCTCTTTTATGTCTGCTCGATTGATTAGTGCAATAGCAGCACAATCCACGGCCCAGCACTCCATCTCCCGTGGCATCTCGGAGCAGTGAATGGTGGCCTTCAGGGGCTTATTGTCCTCCAGTAATTGGTTGTTTTCGTAAGTGTACTTCCGCATAGACTTGTCATTTTGGGAGTTCGGTCCCCATGCCTTCTCTTCGAAGGAGAATTTCCCCGAGTTGGCTGGCTGGAGGGACTGCTGGAAATTAAGCATGACGCTAGGCTAGTGTGTGAGTGTGGTTGTGAGCGCGTTGAAAGGAACACTGCCTGCCTGCCTCGTGGGCTCTCGTTGAACTGGTGACAAAAGCACACACGCACGCACACACACACACACGTGCACGCGCGAGTGAAGTTGCACCCACGTGAGCTCCACTCTCCTGGATGGTGCATGTTTACCTCGGGAATGGCGTGTCTTTTACGACACTTGGAATGAAGAAGTAAACTCTCATTGCAGTGGAATTTTATTTAAATCCACTTGGCAAAGGCGATTATTGATATTACCTGACTTTGTGGTCGTGATTCTCGATTTGTTAGTCCGATGTCATGACTTTTATCGCTGAAATGCCTGAATAGCTCCAGGATGCCCAGGTAATGAAAGTACAAGAGAAGAGCCAACACAATAGGCCACCAACCTGCACGCCTGATACCTGAACGGTGCGTTTCTCGATGATAGTGTGTTATGTAATCAATTATTAAACCCGGAGAGGAGAACGCAGGATACTATTGTAACCCTTGCCACTTTTACCTGCTACCATCCATAACCGTAGTTCTGGCTTGAAGATGCCGAAGTTGGAATACGTGGCTTCATTTGTTTTCGTTTTAAACTTTTTTTGCATAAATTCAACTTCACAGAACATTGTAAATGGGTTTTTCTTGAAATTTCGATAAAATGTACTTATTTTCACGTTTTACTCGAGCACACGGTAATCCAATGCCCGACAAATACACACAAGGCATGCGGTTTATTTATCGCTTTACTGTACAAGCTCCCGAACTAGGCCCGAGACCTAGCATTGGTAGATCGACTATCACGAAAACTTGGAAGGAACTCCTGCCTATGACGAAATATCGTGTTTTTTCCTAAGGTAAACCCGCTGCATTTTGAAAATGCGATTACATTTTTATTCCGATGCAGAGCCTTGCAGGTCACTGGTGCGTTAAAAGATTTTTTTAATAGGATTCATCCATTGAATATAAATTATGGATTTACCACTTGGCGGTATTGTCTTAAGGTCCCAACCCGAAAATATGACAATTATGTACGCACAACCAGCCGACGATAATTTGGGTGGTGGGGTTAACGAAACGCACTGTGCTACTGCTGCTTGCAGCACATTCGAGGAATGGCCACTCGCTTTGAAATCTAAAGCTGGACACAGGTCTCAATACTCTAACAAAGTTTTAGGCGTTATAAATAAAGAATGTACTCGATTTGTTGGCGGAAGAAGATGCTGGCAAACGAGTACAATTTTGTGTCGAGTGGCATAAAATGCACAAACCTAGGTGAAATTTTACTGTAAGGCTGAAACAATAACAGCTTATGTGAGCTTTCAGGAGCATCTAATCAACAAGGCAACAAAGAAAACTTTTACACCTAAATCTGTCCAACCTGTGCTCAGAGTTTCACAACCTAGTTTTGGTCTATGAAGCTTTTGAGCAGAACGGAATTAGCTTCTGTTTAAATTAACGCCGTTGAAGCAAAAAAAACTGTTGCGAACCTGAAAATACTGAATTGCTAGGCTAAACGAGATCAGAACTAAACACATTACATCATTCTTACTCCTAGCTGAAATGCGAACTGCTTATAAGGCCCCGTATTTCTTATGAATTGGCACAACTGTATAGGTCAGTTAGGTCACTTCATGAATAGATTGTTGTGGGCCCCGGCATGTGATCTAGAAGCACACCGGGGCCACTGAGTCAACCCTGCCCCGATTAAGCTTCCTTGATGCCCGCGATGTAGGAAACAACCAGGGTATCCCTATGTTGTGGGTGGCATTTGCGCGTGTGTATTTATACTTCAGATGTGTGCGTTATAGATGAGCTAACACTGAGACCCAGGTGTGAGGATAATCCAGGACAAATGTTCTTGCGGATGAGGGGGAGTTGAGGATCTGCGCGGCTGGCGACATGCTGCGAAAAGGGGACCCTTTGTCGGAGGCTGGAGTGATCGGATCAACGCGATTCACAATAAGATCTTCTGGTTTCATTGACAAAATTCATGCCTCGTCTGGAGTAGGATTCCAATTTGGGCGATTAAGAGTTGGTAGAGTGTTCAGGTGGCAATATGTTCTTGGTGAGATTTCACCACGCACTTTACAAGCAACGTTATTGTACGAAACCAGGTTAACGTTGCCGTCTACCGGATAAAAAAAATTCTGTATGATTGTGTTCTTAAAAGAAAGTACATACAGAAAGAGTTCCTCGAGGTTTAACTTTTAAAGTGCGTGCTTTAAAAAGGCTAGCACACGTACGGGCAGTACTAAAAGTTAGGGTTGTCGGGACAGCGATGAGCCATTTTGAAGGTCAGAAATTAGGAGGCAATCAGCAATGCCTCGAAGAGTGAAAAATGATTATGTAGGGATGAGAAAAGAACGAAGGTACAATCACTGAATCGATGCTTCTTCGCAGTTGTAAAATGGAAGAATCAGATTCAGGTGCCAGTCTTTTTCAGAGAGCCGTTTATTGAGACGTCAGACGGCAGTTTTCAATTCGAAATCAATAGGTTGTAAAACGCAACACGTGTAGATGTGAGCTGTAAATGCAAAAGGTATTTTACTCCACGAATGAATCAAAGTCTCAAGTTAGGCACAATGTGACTTTGTGCAGTCGTAACCAGCAAAACACCTTCCTCTAGCCAAATTGAGCGTCATCCCATGTTGGGGCCTGCTTCGTCACTTACTGGAGTAAATAGAAGCAAAATTAACCTTCTGAATCTACTGATTTTAGGCACAACTGACAGTAAGAAGGCTTCGCTAAAAGTGTCTTAGTGTATAGTTCATATGAACGAAATCCGTAGGTGGTTTTAAATTTCTTTAAATATAATTTTGGCATAGAATGCAAAGGTCTTAATTAAGTCACGTTTTTTTTTAAATTGCTAAAGCGAAAAGCGTAAAGTGTAAACCCGTCACAGTGCACCTGTGGGAGCACGAACTAACTTCGCCGCAACACTTACGAAAGAACTGTGTGCACCGCAGTGAAGTGGTTTAACAATGTGCACTGCTGGGGCTCTTTCCCAAAAGGCAACTGTTTGACGTCTTGTTGAAGATCCTCACGCAAAGCGGAGTCGATCACAACCAGACGAAAGAGCAGGCCCAAAATGAGGGGCAGCGTAACCTATCGGCACAAGGTTTTTGGCAAAGTGGCTAAAATGAGTTAAGTATGAGCTCTTTCACTCGCGAATTGCAGTGGGCTTAATTCACTGCTAAAATGTTACCACAGTTGAAAACGTTCAATAATGAAGGAAGGATTTGCTGTCAAAAAAATGGTAGTCTAAATGAGAGACAGCATCGAGGACCAGAGAAGGAAGTTGGGCAAGACAAAAATTGTTTGGCTTTCCTGTTCCGTGTTGCCGCACTGTAAGTAGGGCTGAATGGCAAATAGCATTTCCGGGCACCACGGAAGGCTTTTATGAATTTCGTCAAGTCTGAAATTCTTCCTAGTAAGCGATAGTCAAGAGCGCAATTCGCAAAATTGCCTTAAAATCAATTCCAAGTGTCAACGCCTGGGAAGGATATTCGAACTAGATTATTTCAAGAAACAGGCCATAGTACTACGCCTGGCTAGTCAAGTGCCTTCAGAATGAGGCTAAAAATACAAGTAGGCATAAAATTAGACTGTTATTGTGCTAGTAAGGGGGTGAAAAGCCACAACCCAAAACAAGTTTTTTTCATTCGACTGAACTGACATTCAGCTGCACAACAACACGGACTCTTGTTATCGTGTTTTTGGAAATGTAACATACTTGTTGTAGAAGTTTCAAAATAAATTAATTCGACTTTGCTTTCAAAAACATTTCTATTCTGATGTCCCAGCATATTGCTGTTTTATCGCTTCAGGGCTAATCACTGTATACTGCGACTTCTTTGGATGTCCGAGAGCATGCTAGTTTGAACGTGTTGTGAATCGTGTTTATTCACACCCCTTAATCCGGTCGCTCCATCTCCGACACAGGGTTACCCTTCTCGCAGCATGTCGCCAGCCCCGCGGATCCTCAACTCCCCCCTCATTCACAACCGTATTTATCTTGGCTTATCCTCACACCTAGGTCTCGATGTTAGCGCATGTATGACTCACACATCCGAGGTATAGACACACACGCGCAAGCACCATACACGGCACAACGACACCAACGAGGTTGAGCTCTGAAGTAAATGGTTGTGTCCACGTCCTCTCCTATCTTTTTCTACATCGCGGCTATCAGGGAAATGTAATCGGACCAGGGTTAATTCCGTAGCCCGGCGTGGTTCAAGACCACATTCTGGGGCCCACAGCAAACCCATCGCTTCTGTCTGCAACAGTGTTTGAAACTAATTTTTCGATTCAACTACATTCAGTAGATGGGTTGGTCTGAGTAACGTTAGTCGGAAGTACCGAGAGAATTCCCATTAGACATTAGAATTACCACACGCAAATCCTGGTTTCTTGCTTTTGATCTCAGTCGCAATCACAGTCAAATGCATGGCACCAATTTGTAGGTGGTCACTAAACTGCCTTGCCCTAACCTAGATAGCACTTTGGATCTAATCCAGTGCCCAGGCACCTGTAACTGATTGTCAGAGGTTACGAACGTCAACGAGAACCCAGTTGTAATTTTAAACAGAAATTTATTTCAATCTGTGCTATCGATGGTTGTGATGATTAGATGATCGTCTCGAGGAGACGCTAATAAACATGAGAGACATCGTGCAAAAATGAACTAATAAAATCCATTGAAAGTTCCTTGCAACATACTTAAGTAGTCATTCTATTGAACTCTCCTGTTAAATTTACTCGGCGGAAAAAGGATTCGGCCCACATGCTTCCAAGACACTGAACAATTAATTATTTTAATTATCGACTCGATACGGGGCGAGTTTGCATGTCTTAAGGATGACTCTCTGCACGGAAACGTCGACTACAAACAGCTCCGTTTGGAGATGCTGGAAGTCCTGAAGAAAAGGTATTCAAAAGTCAAGTTTTTTGTACTTTTATCATGTGGAAGGCTTAAACTCCGGGAATGAAGTTCCTCTTGAAGCGAGCTGATGGTAAAAGATTACTGGCTTGGAATGCCTCTCGGAGCTTCAAAGGCAATCAGTAAGTATTAACTAATGTGACTTTGGAGAATACAACTGTAGGTTGCTGGCAGGTCACCTGGATTCTAACATTGGTGTATAAGAATTCACGGAAGCTGGAACAGCACCTTCTTGAATGTAGTATCGTCGCTACCTGACTACAAATTACATTTACAATTGTTACCCGTTACATTATCTCCTTCAAAGGGATTTTAGCCGAACTGCTGATAAATGAGGACTGATCAAGGCGTGCTAGTGTTGATTAGGTCCAGTGCATTTAAAAATATCTTGTTTATTTCCTTATACTCGAATAATCGTTGGCGCTCACAGGATGGTACGGCCACAGAATACGTTGGATAAGGTCCTGACCGCCAATGGCTTCCTCATGCCTTCGAAGTGTGACTCATTTAATAGAATCGTACTCTGTTACTCAACTTAAATGCAAACAATAAAATGGCAAATCGTGCTGGAAGCAAATGAGCTTTATTGCACATAGATCCTACGACTGAAACCTACTTGGAAAGGGGCGTTAATGTGGTAATGCCTTAGCTATTGCAGCCTGCGTTTTTAATGGCTCCAAAGGCGCTTCTCTGTGTGGTTCGCCGGGAAACTGCAAATTCGTAGCAGCTATTCTTCCCTAATGGCGCAGCGTCACGCTTATGTCAGGGTGGAACCGAGAACAGCCTAGTGCGATGTAATCGCATGCATCGGTTCCTGGCGTTGCAACCAATAGCCACGCTTCACATTTATGGAACAATGGCAACTACTGACAAAGGTTTCAGTAGCCTGTAAATTTCAATTGTGTTGAAAAGATCGCATTAAAGTAAACCCGTTTTTCACGCACAATTCGACAACTGATGAGTACTATGTTTTACCTGCATTTTTTAATACAAAGCTCTACTGAATTTAAGTCGCCACGTATTACGAAGTGGCATCAGCAATTAAACGGTTTATGGCAGCAATAAAGTTTGAGTTAACTTTATTGCTCACCACTCAAGACGAAATAAAAGCTCCGCGGCACGATGGAGGTGCATCGAAACGTCAGATTCACCAATTTAAAATAGGCCAGTTTAGTGAGAAACAATTAGCTGAAGTTCAACAAAATCTAACCAAACGGAATTCGCTAGGACCTACCCGTCAGGTTGCCCAAAACACGCTCGTGCATTTGCACCACAACTCCCTTCTTGCCGAGGAGACTCACCACGACTTGTTTAAATCAATTAGTTGACGAAATCTACTTGTTCAGATGACCTGAGACATTCCCTAAATGCTTGATACCTTGCCCAACCCGGTTTATTACAGCCCTACACAAATCAGCTCACAAACAGCCTTAAGTTTTGAAAAACAGGCTTGCATAATTTCTTCATTTATGATTTCCGTTTTTTGGTAAATGGCCGTGATACTGGGCCATCTGCTAACTTGAAGTGATACACTTCTGACATCGACTGAACTGTTACTAAGGCAACAACCATGTCGCCTGGCAACGGGCTAACAATACGCTCGAATAATTCTGGGTATTTGCCGCTGATGTTGCTGTAACTAGGAGAAAAGTCCTGTGGTAGTCGTCAATGATTAAACTGTCCACTTCAGTACTTTGTGGAGTTATGAACCTGTTCATTAAAGATCTACACAGTTGTATACTAGTAAAATGCATAAAGTTGCTTGCAAATGTGAAAAAATGACTTCCAGGCCAATGCCAAAGTGCTGGTAATAGGGGTTGGAAAACTATCCAAGGAATGACCTTCGCTATGTGACAACATTCTGACACCTGAAGAGAAACAAATGAGAATATGCACTGCCTTGTTTTCAAATATGATTCATACAGAGTGCAGAATGTTTTCATGGTGTGTTAAACACGCACACACACACACACGTATGCAGATAACGTCTTTGTTTCATAAAAACCACACACAATTTCATACAAATCACAATTTTCCATTTGCTCTCTCGATGTAGAGCGCCTTGCGGACCGAGTTTAGGCTGTCGATCAGCTCGCTGGCCTGTGGGCTGTGGTTGGGGTGCTTGGAGGTGCAGTTGCACGTGGGTGGGGGGCGGTCGCCGCCTTTGGTGGGTGGCTTGACGCTCGACGCTGACTTCGGCTTCCTGGACTTGGTCCGAGAGACACTGCTGGAGGTGAGTGGTCTGGAGCTGCGTGCTGACGCTTCCTGGGTGAACTCGCGCCTTCTAGCTGTAACTGGCCGCAACAGTTTGACGGGGTTAGCAGAAAATGGACGTGAGAGAGTCGAACAACAGGAGGAATTGCGTGACCGGTGTGATCCAAATTCAAAGTCCATGTGGTCGGTACTAGCTAGACTGGTCAAACTCCGAGCGGTCAAGGGCGTTATGAAGTACTCCTTGTGACGTTTCAGAAGCTCTTCGCGCGATATCTCGGGACTAGGCTGAACGTTCTTTAGACGATTCGCCATGTACTGTATTAAAGAATTGGTAAATAATAATATGTTCGTTTAACAAAGAAAGGTATCGTCACAACAGCCCAACCATGGCTACTTAATAGCGTTCTATTGGCTCCAGCCAGAACAAGCCATCAGGTGTTGCAGCAGATGTTTTTATGAAACATTAATTACCAAGAAATTAGACAGAAAGTCAAGACGAAACATAGTTTAGTCAACGTGATTACATAGACCTTAGTACACATTTCGCACCAAAATTTAAAAATTGAAAAAAAAATTACATATTACTTGTTTCGTGTTTGTTTATCATCACCCCAACAATTCAGCCCTTAATTAGACTGGCTGTTAACCACTCACCAGTCAGTCTTACTCCCGTAAACAGGATAGATGGGACGAATTGCGAATTTTCACATTCACCATATAATATAGCACGATAACGTAGATGGAAAGTAAGTACCTTGGACTAGATGTTTGAGCGATACTTCTGCTAAACCAGCTCAAACACCTTGTGATTTTGCAACCAAAAGTAGGGAAGTTATTTGCTAAGGAACTGTATATAAGAAGAGGGCACAATATGAAGGAAACTGAACGCACAAAGTTTTCCATTTGTATACGTTCCTGCTGGCGCCACCTGTTGAGAGTGGTGTGATAGGGTCTACGAACTACCAACTGTGGAGTTGCCAAGCCGGCTTTGCCGTACTTTTTGGAGGCTGACGTAAGGAGGTTGTACTCACGCAGCATCTCCTCCACACACGCGGTATCGTCGCTTGGCAGGGCCTGCGAGTTCGGATCACGCCAGGGTGGACGAATGCTCCGAAATCGCGCATCACGGGATAGCTGTTGAAGAGCCGCCCTGAGGTCTTCAACATTAACCTGGTCTGGTGTGATATCAAAATCGCCCCGCTTATTACCAAAAACGCTTGAGGATGTGCTGTAGCGCTGTTTCGAAACACTGTTGGGCAGCCTCCGAAGGGCTCTCAGGTCCTTAGTGCTTGGCATACCGGCAGAAGGCGTGGCTTCTGGCGGCTGATGAATCGAGAGCGTATCAAATTGACTGACGACAGCTGTGGACTGAAATAGCTCCAGGCCATTATTGGATGGAACCGAGGTTTGACAGTCTTGAGGATCTGTCGAGTCTACAACACAGATATTAAAACCCGCATGCAACAAACAAACCCTAGCTCACACATCTTAATACGTTAAAGCTGTGAGTGCAATCTAGCATTACAATTACTTAAACGATTTTAGGATATAAGTGATCAAGTTACCAGCAACGGATTTATAAAGGTAGTTTGTGAACATCTAAAAATGCAAACATCACACAAGACTCTATACTCCGTTGTTATCCGTTCACCTATTAATAAACTGTTTAGAAGTGTTTGAACTGGCCCATAAACAGCTCAAGAGCATATGGTATGAATGAACTGGGGTAGTAGTATTGAACAAAATACACATCGCAGTTGGAAATGGCTTGCTCAAAAAAAAACAAACTTGTAAATCACAACAGGTTTAAAGGTTCACATTAGGAAAGAGCTGGCTATTTTCTCCGGCTTATTCTACTTAATTACTTAAAAAATGCATATATATAACTGAATTGCAAAAAACATTCGTGGATGTTATATGATGTTGTTCACTTCCTAGACTCTTATACATTGTAATACATGATTTTTTGTTAGTCTTTTGCATCTGAACCACTTTCAATGCCCCGATAATCTACACATGTGATTAAAAAACACTCAAAGTGATTGCCTCTGAAAAAGCTTTAGAAATGACCAATAAATTCCAAGTATGAAGAGAACCTGAGTACTACTTAATAACCAATCACATCACAATGCCTAGGATATCGCTCCTATGTTTTTAATTTAATAAAATAATATACCTAAACTAAGTGGTTGAGAATACATTTTATAAAGCGACGTAGCTTAATACTTTCTTTGTTTGTAGACAAGGTTCAGGAAACTGTCACTCGAAGTTAAGTGTAATTTTTTACTTGCCAAACGTAGGCCATATTGAGAAAAATTTTAAAAATTCGAGAATTTTACCTATGTGACTGCACTACCGTCAAAATAGTTAATTCTTATTAGATTTACCTGGACCCACTCATCAATTTTTCGGTAGTGGGATTTAAGGTACCTTAAAATTTTATTTAGAGATAAGTCAACGCTTCAATAAACATAGCTAAACACACTTGCCATTGATTTGGAAAGCTTAGTTGGCCTTAAAAACAGTTTTTTTGGAAATACATACACACCACGTTCACATTTAGAAGATACAGCTGTAGTCGTATAATTTTTGTCGTCCTCTTCATCTGGCACTGTAGACTCCACTACTGAATAGTCCGAGGGCAAATAAGACCGGTCGATGCTGTCATGAAGTGAGTTTATATTTGACTCCGGTGCATTTGATTGAATCACTTCACAAGGTGTTTCCTCTGTCGAGTCTAGCCCGTGTGACTCCAGCTGATAGTCCCCTTGTTCAGTGCGAAGGTGGTTAATGTGGGTGGATGGTGTCTTTCTGAAGTAAAATTAATTCAATGAACTTCATAAATAATGCTTCCATGATACCTATCATTATGCTATTTTTCTTAAAAACATACGCTTTGAGTTTACCTCTGAACATGCAGTAAAACGAATTTTTTTAAGTGAACAAGAATGGAACTTTTGCAGCTGAAAATAGTAGAGCCGCAGAAATACTTTAACATTTGTAAGCTTGTGTCAGATAATTTAATTACACGCAGCCAAATATCAAAGTTAAACTTAAAAACCATTATGCATCCTGGATAGTCTTCCACAGAGATGAAAGCCAGCGGATTAAGAAATTCAGATAGATTATTCTTAGGAGCAAATTAATACTCAGAAAGGGATAGACGGTTTTTACTATGTAAACATACAAACCTCTTTTCGATAAAGGGTTTAAGTATATTGCAGAGTCCGATAAAATTCCTATCAATCTGACAAAATGGGCATGCAAAAAACAAATAAATAAAATAAAAAACTTGGGCAAACACCATTCCTCATCAAGTAAACAATTCATCCAGTAAGTGCAAGACCTGTATAAATGTAATAGTCTATTCAATCAGTGCATCAAACTTAATCGCAGTATAGCTGTTGTTCAAAGCAATCATAACTTGGTTGATTAAGAATTAGATCATAGCAACAGTAAATCAGATTAGGAGCAAATTAAAAATAAACTTTGTGTATGTGCGTTCACACACTGTAACGATTGCAACTAATGCATCAGATTTCAAAATATATATGCTTAGATAAAAATGCGGTTTCTGCTAACAGGAACAAAGCATTTAAAATACTGGAAAATTTTGACTCGAAAATCAAAATAACACAGATAACGTGTCAAACGGACTACAACAGGCACATACTTCATAACTTTAGCATTGCGTTCATTTTCCTCAGAAATTTCTTCGAAAAAAGAGTAGTCAACCTCATATGTTTCTTGCGCTTTTCTGCTCATTTGATTATTGTACACTGAATTGCAGGATGCCGAAAAAATTATAATGATTAAAGTGGCATAGTTAGGACACAACAATTTGAATGCAGTTTAACTAAAACTGCATAAGCCTGCTAAATGAGCCCAATAATTTCTTTTCACCGAACAATTATGAGAAACAAGACGTGACCCCCAATTGCAACCAAAAGGTCGGGAGTCACCAATAATCACAACAGTAAGCACTTAGAACATTAAAACAATTTCAATGTTAGGAGTTTATTGAAAAGAATATCCACAAATAAAGCTGCCTATTCACTTTTTTAAAAGGTACATAAAAGCATCTTACTTTAGTAATATTAAACACGTGCAAATAAAATGAAAAAAATGAAAAATAAGAAAATGAATACTATTGGAATGCCCATTAATGGAGTGCAACTAAGCCAGTATCCACGTCATGTTCTTGTATACCAGCCAAATAACTTAACTTTTTTGTAGTAATTCAAATAAACATATAGCAAATGATTTTTCAAAGATTAAGCTACGATAATTTTATGCCAAATTTTCTAATTAAAACCTTCGTTTACATTCATTTGAATGTCTATCTTGATAATGGGTTTTGATTATTGCACATCTAATTGTATACATCTAAGAAATCAGATGCTGCAACTAGATTAAAAGAGGATATTTAATGAGCAAAAAAACTCTAATTCATTAGCTCGTTAATAAATTAGCACGGAAAATTAATAAAAAATTGTATTTGACCACGCAGAGCTGGTCTTTGAACATTTATTACGAACATCGTCAAATGAATTTGTTTAAATCTTTAATTTTGAAAAAGTACAAAACATAGGCATCTACATAGTTATGGTATCGATGATATCTATAAGTATATTTTGGAATTATCTAAAATTTGAATTAAAAAGAATCGAATCATACTTACACATAAGGACATTGCTCAACTCATCTTAACTCATAGATGTCACATTTAACTTTCCAAATATTGCATTTATAGTTAATTTTAATATCAGCAGTGTGATTTATTTTTTAATAAGGCCAAAAACTGCAGCAACAGCGACCGGAGTAAGAATACTGGTATAACTTTAGGATTTTATAATAGCTGCTTGAATTTGAACCCATAAATCCTTATAATGGGGCTGATATCCATTTTATTAAATTAAATTTATTCATGAGTTTGCTTATATGTATACATAGAAAATGATGTTAAACATCTGTAGAAAACTTAGTATTTCTATAGTTATTACGAAACAAGGTCATATTAGAGACACGTTAATTACGCAAATGCAAATCCATTTTAAACTCGCGAGTAGCTGTAATATTAGCTGCCTTAACGTAATTATTAGGTCGCTGAAAAAAGACATACAATGTATATAGTAATTAGGATGTAACATAAAATCTCACTAATTTTAAATTCTATATACAAACGGTTTAGAAAATACAATAAAATTGAAATTTTTCCAAGCTACATAAGACAAATATTTTAATGAAATGCAATAAAACGACAAAAATTAGATCAATATTTGAACATGTGATTACCAGATTTTTTTCTAAATTTCTTTTACTACGTGCGACGATGATCAAAATGTTTTGTGTCCTTAAAATTCATGATCAATTTTACATAGTTAAACAATTGGCTTTGTGTAATAAAAAATGTTAAATATTTGTAAAAAGGAATATAAAGAAAAAGATAATTTAATAGTTAATGCGCAATATTGAGTGATTTTTGTTTGTTGCCTTAAAATTCCTTGGTAATATTTCATTCTTTAAAGAGATTGAAGAGCGCGCTTCTCAACACTTTGTGTCTACAAGTGTCGTCATGTTGGGACTGGCTGATTCTAGCTGGCTGGATGATTTGCCTTTAAAGGACAGAGATTCTCTAGTCTATACAGCTAAAACTCTGCAGCATGCAGAGATGTATGACAATATGGCTGTTTGCATGAAGAAAGTTACCGAATTTGGTGTTGAGCTTAATGATGAAGAAAGGAATCTCCTCTCTGTTGCATTTAAAAATGTTGTTGGGTCTCGCCGTAATTCCTACCGGGTCCTATCTAACCGCATTTCTCGTACTCAGGATTCAGAAAAATTAGCGCTCACAAAAGAATTTCTCGACACTATTCAAAAGGAGCTCAATGCCGTTTGCTCAGATGTGCTGGTATGGTCCATTGTTACGTTTACCCTGTAGCAACTCATCAAAGAGAAATTGCTGCCTTTGTGTACTAGTGCCGAGGGAAAAGTTTTCTATCTAAAAATGATGGGCGACTATTGTCGGTACAAAGCTGAGAACGCAAAAGGTGAAGACCATGATGAAGTTGTAAAGGCTTCTCTCGAGGCCTACGAGGAGGCAACTAAGATTGCTAATGAAAGTCTTAGCTGCACTCATCCTATTCGTCTTGGGCTTGCCCTGAATTATTCCGTCTTTTACTACGAGATCATGAATAGCCCTGACAGGGCGTGCCAGCTTGCAAAGAAGGCCTTCGATGATGCCGTCAGCGATGCTGAGGCTGTAAATGAGGACTCATGCAAGGATAGTACCCTTATCATGCAATTACTTCGTGACAATCTTGCAGTAAGGATGGTTTTATTATCCTAGTTCTTTTAGTTGTGGACCTCCGATCCTGAGGAGACTGAGAACAACGAGGGTGCTGAGTAATTTAGCAAATCATTTCTTACCCAAGCGGATCAAGTTAATTATGAATATAAAATTCCATACATACATTATGTCCTCTTATTACAAGTCCAGGGAATATTAAGTGGTTTAGGGGTTAAGGCGCCATTTTACTGTCGTACTTACTAGTGATTTCTAATGCTCCGGGTTCGTTTTATGAGCAAATTAGTTTGAATTATAGTGCTTTATATGGTGTCGCTGATGTTCAAAATCCAGTGCAAGGTGGTCGGTTTGCTTTATTGTATTTAGTGCTTTACCCGACTGTCCAACGAAGAAGCTCGTCGCTCATTTAGGGCCGAATTTTGCGCTGTCCACACTTCGATTGCTTCCGTATTAAGGATTCTACATAGATTTTCCTGTGTTTGTAGCTGAAGAGGTCGGTTTCGCTGATTGCGGCATGTAGATTGCGGTGTCTAGAGGAAGGCCTCACTAGCTTTGAGACTCGGAACGTTTTTTTATGGATGGCTTCATTCACTCCGGGTCGTGAGATCGTTTTGCAACCTTGTCCAAAAGTTCTGTGGGATATTACGCAGATTCAGACTCGGCCCAGTAGTAGTGGAGGTTGACCGATGGATGGTTTCTTACGCCGGACGCCAACGTTTGATGTCGTGCAGCTCCGCATCGACACTCATAATTTGGTGTGTGGATGACTGTTTCTAGAGTGTCGCCGCAAGTTCTTAACCGCATTGCCACAAGTGACATACGGTCTTGTAAATTTCTTTTACGTAAGAATGCCTTAACTGAAGGTATATCGATGTGGAATGCAAAGCCCAGCGCTATTGTAAATTCTTATCTGAAATAATTGCCTGAAGATGCCATCAACTTGACTGTTTGACACGATGGTGCTAAGTTGCTGCCCATACAAAGCAGTCTACTGGCATTACCCGCCAGAAATGGGCTTATTGTGCAGTGCCTATTTCTAGATGTGGTTTGAACTCATGCGATCGTTGAGATGCCCCTGTGTATCTGTGCACCTTGCATCCCGCATCAACTGATTGCTTTAACGTAGACCGGCCCACACTGTGTGTGCCTTAAAAGTATTTACCAGAAGTCTTCGCGAAAATTAAATGGCCCTAATGTCGCATAATTACCAGAATTTATGGAAGAAGAGCAAGTGTTACTTTTACCTGGAGGAAGGCATCAAATTTCCGTTTATTCTTTTCGTCTCCCCGTCAACCTAGCAAAAGTATGCGTCGTTGTGTTCCGTTATTATAGCCAAAAGTGAGATGCAGGGTAGATCTTGCAGGTCGTAGTTTTGTGTAAGCAATTTATATGTAAGCAGTCCTTTAAATTTCCCCATAATTATTAAGGGTAAATTTAGAACTTCAGGTATTTTGTCGTAGTATATAAAAGCCTTGACAACCAAACCTGTAAGGGAGTGGGAACCAAGAGAGAGAGAGAGGATATCCGGGGCCGGCTGCTTTATTTCTCGATTTTCGCAACTGGAAAGGTGGGAATGTCACCTCAGGGGAGGCAAGTTAAGGGGAGAGCTTCTGATATTTTTCCCGTTCTGCTTCCTCTGCAATTGGTTCTTAGGATACGTCATCAACTGAAGATGAAACGGTTTTCAGTTCCCATTGTAAACTAGCACGATGCTGCTGGCATTGGAAAACACTTTTCGGATGCTTGATGCGTGCGCGGAAAGCGGGAAAAGTGAGGCACTGCCCTTGTACCACCCTTCTACTTCATTTCTATGGATTTCCTGTGCAGACGTATTCGACAAACGCAATTTAACCCCGCTCAAAATGCACAAGAAAATTGTTTTGATACTACTTACAAATTAAATAATGTAAAGACCGGCCGAATTTAATCCTATTTAACTTTCTTAGTTCTTAAAAAAATTAACCTAGATAGTAAATAGTTGCATAATGTACAAAGAGATTAAGAATTTGAGAATGCTGGAATGGAGAAAGAGGGACTCATATGGTCTCATCTGCACCCTTACATGGAGAACGGTAAAAGATGTGTGACGGGCACAGTTATCGATCGTGAGCGAACGCAGTGTGCAAGCACAAGCGAACACAGTTCATTCGATTATTCGTGAATGAACTCCACGCAACTAGCTGCGTTCAGAGATCAATGCTTAGCAAAGCCATGTAAACGCATCTGCTATCCTGTACACAACACACACTCCACCACTGCTTTAATAAATTGGTTGAGCTACACGCCATCAGCATTTTCAGGTCTCCGTGCGGTCGGGCCCTGGTTTTAGAAACTAAACCGGGGCCACTACAGATGTAATAGATCAGACTGCTGTAAATCGCGATGATCCACGCCCGTTAATTTGGTTGCTCCATTCTCCAGCCCGCTGCCACCTAGTTTCACCGTACGCCGTCAGCCAAAAGCGGGACCTCAACTCACCGAATTAGCGTGGACGTTTAGCCTTGATTAGGCTACGTGTAATATTCACCTAGGTCACAATGTCGAATCACGCTGTTTCAAACATCCGAGCTGTAATTTAACACGCGCAAGCAACAGCAATCACGACCTAGCCGAGATTAAGAATAAACGCCGTCTCTCTGCAATCAGAGTACTTTCTAGGATACCCCGTGAAAAGTGCTAAAACACGCGCGTAAAAGTCAATGGATAGGGAGAGAAGTGGCTCGATGATTTTGTCATGCCGACTTGCCGCCTGCTGAATTGCGTGCAGAAGAAGTCTGAGGCCCTACAACACCAAGTGACTGGCACAAACACTCACTCACGCTTATCGTCACATGCAACAAAGCTACACAGCTGGAAATGCGGCGCGTTACAGGACTGGTGTAGGCAAAGGGATCCTAGCATCACGGCTTCATTGAGCAGAGAAGTCCCCAACCTACTACAGGAGTTGACGATTTAATGCGCTTCACACCTTCCATTAATCGCTACGGTCATCTTTTGCTCAACGCACCACAACAGTCACCGACGAGAGTGATGTATTCTCAAAGATCTCCCAAGGCGACAAGCAGATGCTGCCTCAATGTTGCACAAATTGTACACTGTGGGGGGAATGGCAAGCCTTGACTGTGTAAATAACGTGACTACAACAACAATTTCGAAGAATAACCGTGGAGTGAAGGAGCCAACACAAGTAGACTTCGTGTCTGGATTCCACGTCTGCCCTAACAACACTAGCCATTGTAACTTAAAAAAGAAACACCTCAAACCTCAGAAAGGAACATGACAGTTGTAAGCACAGGAGGTTGCATTTGCACACGGTCGCTACCGATTATGCTGGTAGTCTATAACGCCTACTTAGAGTGCATAAGTAGACGGTGTTCCACGCCGCGTTAGCACAAAAACCATACCTGCTCATGTTGCGCAGTCATCTTTATTGCGACGCCGCCGTATTTCCCATAAGCGGTACCCGCTGCACTGCCACACAGCACGGCCATATCTGTACAAGTTACACAGAGCAGACCTCCGTCAAATATACACTGCATGGCCGAGTCAAGAAAAGGGCTGGCTGTGCCATAGGGATCAATATCGACCACGTTGAACCTAAAAACATATTACTTTATCATCACCATCATCAGATAAGCAGTTTATACAAATAAAAAGACGCCCATCTAGTATAAGGCGTTTAGCGCCTTTAAGTGAACGAATAATACATTCTCTGTGAGAGCGTTTTGTCCTACCTTTTAGCTGAGATGCCTACAAGAAAATGAAGTCATACTACACTTAGTACACAAAAGTTTGCAAATAATGATACAAATTTCGGGGTCTCGAAGAGTAATGTTCGTTGGGAAATTGCAAGCTAATTCTAATGCGGCGAATACAATTAACATTGGGTACTACAATTTCCAGCCAGAAAAAGCTTGTTGTGAACCCCAGCATGTGGTCTTGAACCAAGCGGGGACCACGGAATCACCCCTGGGTCGATTTCGCTTGCCTGCTACCCGCGATGAAGGAAAAGATAGGAGAGCATGGGACACAATCGTTTACTTCAGAGGTCAACCAAAACTGGTGTCGTTGTGTCGAGTGTGGGGTTTGCGCGTGTGTAATCCTACCTCAAATGTGTGAATAATAAATGTACTAACATCGAGACCTAGGCGTGAGGATAATCCAAGATAGATTTTCGTGCTAATAAAAGGGTGGGTTGAGGATTCGTGCCGCTAGCATCATGCTGCGCAAAGGGGAACCCTGTATCGGAGGCTGATCGATCGGATTAAGGGGTTGAATAAACACGATTCACGACAAGCTGTTACCCCTTTGTAATAAATTACTAGGATTGGTATATAAATTACCAGAAAGTGTATCATGGTTGCATTAAAATATGATAAAGTGAAGGAATATGCATTTATTTTAAGTAGATTTTTTAAATGCCTTTTTATGCAGAACGACTTCGAATGAGGTCGAATTGATTTAGTTAAAGCGAAATACCTGTCTTCTTAACAATGCTATGTGTTACATTGCCATATATATCTAAAATTGAAATCCTCTTGATTTTCGGCATAAATATAAGACCATTTGAACGACTTTTAACTCTCGTGCTGATTGCTCTAGGATAATATTTATACGACTACTACGTAGAGCCCAAAATCTTTTTCATTTGTCATTATCAGTCAGTGTATTATAATATTGGAATAATGAATAATGACACGAATTGCGGAGCCCCATGCATTGTCGTTCGTTAGAATTTTCTAACCTTATATGAGCAGAATGCATGAAATGCTCATTGTGCAAAAGCTTCACGAGGATGAAGAAACGGCTTATATTTGATGACAAATCATTTTACATTAACGCAAATCTGTAACCTAGGCATCCTGTCGTGATAAATACATTTTATGTAACCGATCCCAAATTTTACTTCTTGTTTGCATTAAAATATCTAAGAATCCAAATATTTGACTAAGGATGGTCAAATTTGTTCTAAAAGTATAGAAGAATGTTTACTTTGTGTTTTATCCAATTTCACGTACAAACCTTCAGGTCATTACGTCTGTCCATAGTAGTTGAAAAAAGCTTTCAGATAATTTTCTTGAATGCAAAAGGCCAATTTTATTTTGACTTTGCTGCATGTTATGAAGAAAAAAAATAAACTTGATCGTATCATAATTTGAAGCACAATTTCAAGACCATTTATATATTTCTAAAATCTTTTCAGCCGAAGACACCTAGACAAGTTTTACTCTTTAAGAAGTGGCCACTGGTATATAATTAAATGCTTACTAAACCATAACATCCCATAGTTTATTTATCAAATCAACGCGTAGATCAATGACAGTTAACACAGCCATTTGCCAGTTTCAATAAATTTTGAGAATATATAAAATCAAGGATTCTATATATGTGCACCGTGCGTGTTTTTTCTCTTTTAAACAAATGTCTTCTGCAAAACCTGAAGGCAAATTGTTTAAGTAGTTCTATGAAGCGGTTGACATTCCAAATTCCCTTATCACATGTTTTTCGGGCGTTTGTGCATATTCCCCCCACGTATATTAACTAAGCGCATTATCAATTGTATAAAATATTCCACTTCGTCACGCCAAATTATGACTACCAAAGAGGGTTCTGCTCTCATCAATTTACCAGAAGGGGTTTTCTACAATCCTGTTCAGGAATTTAATCGTGACATAACTATTTGTGTTATAAGGCATTACCTTCAAAAACATTTTAAAGAGTTCATTGACAAAGGACTTAAAAAAGCGGTTGAACATGGACAGCCAGAACCAGCAGTCTACCGCGGGTTAGCTGTTCTTGAGGCACTCGCTGCTTCTGGTTTACGTTCTGTGAGATATGCCAAAGAGATACCACTTATTTGCAGACTAGTAGCCAATGATCTTGACCCGGCGGCAGCGAAATTGATATCTGAAAATGCAAAAATCAACAGTGTTGAAGACATTGTAACATCATCCTGTGCGAACGCTGTAACGTTGATGATGGACTGTTCCAAGGATAAGTAAGCGCTTTATTTCATGTAATGTAACAATAAGATCTGTAACGTTAGGCAATGTATATGGGTTAAACGAATAACATATTAGTAAACGAAATGCCTTTTTATGTTACTATAACCACCTTCCACGAATTTCCTTAGATGGATATGCAACGGATGTTAACGGTTATCAGCTCTAGTTACTTTCTATCATAAGCCTGAACCTGAATTCGATTTAATACATCCGAGTTGAGGTCATTGTTCTTTTAGCGCTTTACTCGTGTTCTAAGTTTAGTGTTTTTCTTCTAGATGTTTAGATTTTATCGGTCTAAGGTCAATGTCACTGGCGATGTTAACTTGCACCTGGGTAGCATATCTCATAAACAGGCCCCACTGTTTTGTTAATATAGAAAAACTAATTTGATGTTATTGATGTTAAATATTCAATAATATTATATTTCTAACACAAGTAATGCCCTAATTTGTACCTATGCTGAATGGACGTAGGCTATAGCTGTGTATTGCCTTAAACATGATAAATGTACCCCACAAAGAGACTAATACTTTTAAGACACTAGTAATGATGGTTTTGATCTGCACTTTCCCATGCATTTTCTGCTTCATGTATTTGTTAGAAATATTCATTTGAAATTCCTGTAACATCCATTCCGAACACAAAGTTTGCTAATGCTAAATCACATTAAATCTGCATCAGCTGCCTTTAGGGTTCTCACAAATCATTTTTTTTCTGATGAATCAAACCCCAAATTCTAGTTTACTCTGGCGTATCCAGAAACGAAGGGATACTTCACTTTGAGCTTTGAATTTATAAACCTAAATGGTGTGAAGTCTGCTCCTGAATTGTACTATGCGTCATACTGGCTTGCGATTTCCCAACGAACATTACTCTTCGAGACCCCGAAATTTGTATCATTATTTGCAAACTTTTGTGTACTAAGTGTAGTATG